CCCCACCCATGAGACCGCCCACTCTGACAGCAATAGCAGCCAGCTGCCTGAGGTGGGATCAATCAGGAGTCTCAATAAATTGTGGTGCACGGGTGCTATTTAGCCATTTGCTTTTTGCTCTCTTATAGAGTCAACTAGTGCTGTTATCTTACCTATCAAATTCCCTGTATCACACAAAAGTGTAAATTTCAAGCTTTTAATGCAGACTTTGCTGCTAAAGTGTTTCCGGAAAGTGTTGCATTTTGAACACTGGGCACTATCTGTTTCCTCTAACAAAATACTGGCACATGATCTCTTTTCCTCGCACTGGGTGTTGCTTTATGGGATGCTTGCCATCATTGACATTAGATATTGATTGACTGCTATGTGGGTGGGGCTTGCTTGCCTGCTTGATGTTTGATTCGGGGAGAGATTATCAAAGACAAACATACACCTCAGGCCTGCTGTGCTAGAACTACCTCAAATTTGGTCCCAGAAAGGTTGAAAAACACAGACGTTAACACACTTTAGGCTCTGACGAAGACCACTCACTTCTATCCATGGACCTGCAACCTCATCGTGAGTATTTGTGAAAATCCACCATTCTATGAGGTTTGAAAGGCCGAATCCCCAAACATGAGTTTTATGTGCATTTTCTTTATTTTGTCCATTTGTATTACATCATCCCTGACTGCCCTTTTACATCCCTGTTAAAGGAATCATTCACCCAGACATTGTCATTGTTTACTCGCCCTCATGTTGTTTTTCAGTGGAACACAAATGAAGAAATTTTGAAGAATGTTCATGCTGATTTTTTTCCAGAAAATGAAAGCATCAAGTTCAAGCTCCAGAACTACAAAAAAAAATTAATCAAAAGATTCCATATCATCCATGCATTATATTTCATGTCTTCTGAATCAATATGATAGATCTATATTATAAACAAACTAAAATTGTATCTTAACCAATGGCATTCTGTGTTTTTGACATCAAGTTTGAATATATGAGAGCTACAGTGGAGGGTAAGCTTTCAATGAGTTAAGACTACATTACTGTTCCTTGCAAAAAGCTGGTGTATGACTTTAGAAGACTTTGATTATAGCAAATAAGTGATTTGTTCCACTTTTATGGAGCTCTTTTGTGTTCTTTTTAAGGCCTGATAACTCCTGGTCACTTTATGCTTTTATTGTATGGAAAGTGCAGTGTGAAGACTCTTCAAAGTATATTTTGTGTTGCAGTGTCATGCATTTTGAAACGGCATAAGGGTGAATAAGTAGCGACTAATTTTTTGGTGAACTATCCCTTTAAATCGAAGAGCTTGCCATGCAATAGTAATCAAGTAACAAAAAAAGGCACAGCCCGACTGAGAGAACATTAAAGACTGCTAACAGGCTTTAGCCAGCCATGTTACTAACACTGTAACTTAACTAACTGCGATATTTTGTTTATTTTGTTTTTCAGTTCATTTGGTTGATTTTAAATGACGCAGTTCTATTCTAGAAAAATTGGATGTTCGCGATGTTCGCCCAGGTCAACCTTCATACACACAACCATTACTGTTCAGATGATTTTCAGGCAAAATTAATCTGTGTATGTCCCCTGGTCACAATTCATAGCAGAATACCCTCCTGTTGATGTTAAAAAGCAGGTCATATGGGTTTTCGAAAAATATATTTTTTGCAGTCTGCAAAGTTGTTAATCAAAAAAGTGCATGATAAATAAAGATATTGTCTCTCAAAAGAAAGAGTTGACTCTGAACCGCCTTAACGAGTCGTCATATTTTCGAATCTTCTGCCTGTTACCTATATATGTCACAAGGTAACACAGTTGCATAATCCCCGCCTGCCCGTGAAATACGAACACTCTGACCTGCCCACAAACACTTCAGCTAGTTAGTGTGTTCACATCATGTTGAGAAGACGCTGTACAGCGTTTTCAGCCTCACTGGGCATTCTAACACAGTTCCCACACGTGCACTTCCAATAAGTAAATAATAATAATGAGTGCAATAAAACTGCTGTCACATCACATAAAGTACCACATACAAAGTTTAAACTTACCACTGAGAAACGTCCTGATCAAGTCGTGCATGCGATGGAGTTTCCGGTTGAGCGACTGCATCGGTGTCATCCTCGGACTCGGGCTCGAATTGATAAGGTAATATCGATGCCATTTTTGTTTACAAGTAACCCTCCAGAGCAAAAAATGAATTATGGTAATGGGCGTTTCGTTTCTGACACGCATTGTATACGGAAAGACCCATCACAACAGACTTGGCCAGCTGACCAATCAAAGCAGAGTAGGCTTATGGAAGGCAGGAGTTTACAGACCTTAAGCTCAGAACTGCTTCGAACGAATCGTTTTGAAATCATTGAAAAATGATTCTAATATTAAATGTATATTTTGAGAAAATTACAATGTTTTCTGATATTAGATGCATTTAAACCTGTTGAAGGGGACTCCAACACAATATTAGGACACTTTAAAATACCATATGACCTGCTCTTTAATGAATGAACAACTTTTGATCAATACCTACTCAGTCCAGCCAAGACCAGTTGAGTCCAGTCCAGTCATACCTCAATATCAGCTCAAGGGCATCTCGCCTGTCTTTCTCCAGCTCTTAGCGTAATGAGTCCAGATAAAACCATCGATAGTCTTACTCATCTGCTTGGCCACCACAGCCAAGAACGCCTAAAAGCTTTCTCTAATACCACCTCTATGGCTCAACGCCACTCTCCCTTCTTCTCCTAATGCATTAGACTCATAAATAGAACAGAGGAGGAGAAGAAGAAAAAAAGAAACTCGAGTTCGTTCAATTAGATGGTTGTTTTTTTGTTTTTTTTCTCGGTTGTCTCCTTTAAAATATGTTTGAATAATACACGAGTCTGAGATGGAACAGGTTGTTCCCAGAGATGTTTTACCATCATTTATGTTGTGTGCTGGAATTTAACATAATGATAACATCCATTATACATCTCAAAGATCTTGAGATTTAAAAACTTTGTGACATTGAGGTCATGTGACATTGTCAACCATTGCATGGTTTGTGTGATCTCCAAAAGTTTGAACCTTAAACCACTCAGTTGTAAGTAGTGGTCGACTGATATATTGCCAATATTTGGCATTTTTATTTAATCAGCATTATGTTTGTCTAATAAGTGTTGGAAGCCAGACTTTTTTTTACAGTGTCAGGAACACAGGATCTCCCGTTTCCCATCTTTATTAGTTTGCTGGGGTTTATTTTAAAAATAATTATTAATATAGTACATATTGTACATTTTATGTAAAATAAATTAATTTAATTGCAACATGTTATTTACTATTTTTAAATTAAATGCAAGCGAGAATAAATGGATGGATATCTTATATATCTCGCCTTTATAATGGCAATTGACCACCTTACTCTAAGATATTAGATATCAGCTATCAAAAAAAATCAGATTGGCCGACCACTAGTTTTAAGCTACTGTTGCTCTTTGTGTATTTTTGTGGTTTCATGAAGTAGAAGATAGTATAACTAGTCATACACTACATATTGAATTACATGAATATTGTCTTATGTAAGTATCCATGGAGTCTTGATTGTCAGACATGTAATGAGGCTCAGGGTAAAGCTGTTTCCCCATGAGTTTGATTTTTATAGTCAGCTGTTATTTAGCTCAGTGCTTTTATGTGATTTATGAATAGAAATACAGTGGTCCATTTAATTTATATCCTCTGATGTCACAGGTTTATTACTCAGTTGGTCTCATTTGCATTATAAGTCAATGGTGAAAGATTAGCCCTGTACCATTATTGATTTTTCCTCTCATAATAGAAGCACCAAACGCATATAGCAAGGCCATTTTGTGAGTGGCTGTGCTTAAGGGTCCCTTGGTGATGTTCACTCTAAGTGTAATGTTCACTACCTAGTCTGAATGTGGACCAAAATAAATAGTCCTTTTTATTTCAGTAAAAATAAATACAGTTTCTACAGCAACAGCTCTGGAGTGTTGTGCTTACTGCACACAAAAAGATTCAAAGATTTGTTGTGTATTATTAGAGTATAAAGGTATTTATTGTCCCCCAAAATACATGTTGCCCTCTTTGCCCCAGTCCTGACTGCCCTTTACTGTCATCTTTGCAACTGCAGGATGCGAGTGTAACTGCAGCTGATGAATTAAGCAGCAGTGTCAGTGAGGATACGGGGTTTGGCAGTGCCCCTCCTTTACCCTCAGACCCCCCTGAGCTCTGTGACTTACCTGACTCCCAGGACCCTACCGACGACCTGGACCCAGCGCCCCCTCCGCCACCAGCTGTGGACAGCCCGCCTGGATCCCTCTTTGATGACGAGCCGGTGCTGCCACCACCTGTCATAGACTCCACCTTGGACTCCATGTACGAGAAGGAGACGGTTCTGCCCCTGGCTCTGGACTCGGCCCCCGATTCAGTATGTGAGGAGGATGTGACACTGGCTCTGAAAGAGCTAGATGATAGATGTGAGGAAGAAGAGGCGGATTTTTTCGGCATGTCCAGGTTGGTCTGTGATTTCTGTAGTAATCATTCATGGGGTTAAAAGTTGAGTCAGTCATGGCTCTGATCCGAAACCCTACCTTGTTGTCTACTAACAACATAGACAGCTACCTTCAAGGCAGTATCCTAACCAAACTGCAAAGTGTATTACTCGAATGCCAGGTTACACAACTAACTCTTCTCACATGAAGCGCAACATATGAAATTATCAGTTATGAAATATACAATCAGTTAAAGGTTGCCCAGATGCCTTTTATTCCCTATTATGTGTAACAGCTTTGGTCAGGAGTGCACCTAAGATGCTCTCTAGTTAGGCAGCTCACAATGTTTTGAGAGTGTAGTAGAATTTAAATAGCGCAAAAAGGTTTTTTAAAAATGGAATTATGCACCGTACCATTCAAAAGTTTGGGGTCGATAAGATTTTTTTACAAATGTTTTTGAAAGAAGTCTCTTATGTTCACAAAGGCTACATTTGTTTGATCAAACAATACAGTGAAAACAGCAATATTGTTAAATACTATTACAATTTAAAATAGCTATTTGCTATTTAAATGTTTAAAATGTAATTTATACCTGTGGTGGCAAAGCTGAATTTATGGCAAAGCTTAATATTTCTGTGAGATTCCACAATGCATTTTTTTCAGGATTCTTTGATGAATGGAAGTTTCCAAAGAACAGTATTTATTTGAAACGGAAATCTTTTGTACCATTATAAATGTCTTTACTCTCACTTTTGATCGATTTAATGCATCCTTGCTGAATAAAAGTATTAATTTCTTTAAAAAAAATCTTCCTGACCCCAAACTTTTGAAAGGTAGTGTAAATACCCAAAGTATGTATTGTTGTTTTCAGATATACTTCCAAAATTTAATTTCACATGCTTCACATAAACATGATTGCAGATTTATTTTACTTTTGATGGCATGACATAGAACATGGTGTGAGGCAAACCTGTGTGAAGTAATCTGTATTTATATGTAAATAATATAGGGCTTTTCCAAATTTTATTATGCACACATTATTTTCTTTGACTGATCATTACAGATTAGCATTCACACTGCAAATACGTTCCTCCAAATGTGATTTGAGTGATCAGATCACAAAACGTTTTGGACCCCATTTACAGCTGTACATATCGCCGTTCCCTTTGGATCTTTAGACTTTTTTTGCTCTGTACTGTACCATTTAATACCATTCAACATATTGCTTATCCTCTGCCATGAATAATAAGGATGAGTTTTATTAACGCTTTGAATCGTGATCTCATACTTGGCAACATCATTGCTCTTGAAGGTCAGCCATCAATACGAGAGCACATCAGAAAGTGCCCCTACGAACTCACTTAATTTATTCTTATACACGCACTCTCACACACTCTTCCTCTGCAGTGCTATATATCATCCTCTAAGCCCTGATCTGTCTGGCTCTTCCATGATCGATTAATAAAAATTATAGGCAGCGATTCAACGAAGGGCTCTAATTATATTTTTGCGCAATGATGGCCTTTCTGTGCTCTTCCTGGCAACTTTTTACGCCTGAGATCCATTTAGCAGAAAGAGAGCCTGTAGCCGCATGTGTGAGAACCGCTCTTGTGCCTGTCTGGCTCTTCCATGATCGATTAATAAAAATTATAGGCAGCGATTCAACGAAGGGCTCTAATTATATTTTTGCGCAATGATGGCCTTTCTGTGCTCTTCCTGGCAACTTTTTACGCCTGAGATCCATTTAGCAGAAAGAGAGCCTGTAGCCGCATGTGTGAGAACCGCTCTTGTGCGGCACAGCAGCAGCGAGTGGGGGAGGGAGTGAGAGGGAAAAACAGAGAACGTCACAAACGCAGCGGGAGAATTTAGGCTAACACGTGAGGTGAAAAGCTCGGAGAGGGAACGGCGAAAAAGGCATCAGAGCAGAAAGACAGTGAAGGGAACAATAAAAGCTTTTAGTGAAGATGAAGGCAATGTCCTCCACATCTATCAGCAGCACTGGTCTCAGATTCATCTATTCGGTCTGCTTCATCAAGCTCTTCGGCCCTACAGGCCTGTAAGTGTGTGTTTGTCTGTGTGTGCTTGTTGTGTTTCTGTGCATCTGCAGAAGATTTTGACTGTAACAACACTGCAGCACAGGACACATACAGTGAGAGAGAGAGAGAGAGAGAGGAGGGAGATCTTGATAGAAAGAACAGCATGTCTCTGTTTACGTTTTTCTTCCTGGATGATGTAACGCTTTGTGTACTCGCGTCTCTATATGTGTCTGAGTCTAGCTTTTTCCATCTCTGTTCGCAGTCAAGATGAGGGTGATGCAGACGGCTTTCCTGAACTCCAGGCCTCACCACCTCCGTCGCCCTTTCTTTCGGCTATTTTGGCAGCATTCCAGCCCGTAGTCTATGACGACGAGGAGGACGCCTGGCGTTGCCATGTCAACCAGATGTTGTCGGACTCAGATGGGTCTTGTGCTGTTTACACCTTCCATGTGTTCTCACAACTCTTTCAGGTAAAAATGAGAGTTTGTGAGTGTGTACCTGCATGTTACATGAATATTAATATACAGTTTTCTGCAGATACACTACAGTTCAAAAATCTGGTGTTGGTAAGATTTTTTTATTACTTTTATTCAGCAAGTATTAATTAAATTGATCAAAAGTGACTAAAGACATTTATAATGTTACAAAAGATTTATGGTAAATGCTTTTCCTTTCTAACTCTCTAATTATCAAAGAATCCTGAAATAATTGTATCATGGTTTCCACAAAAATATTAAGCAGCACAACTGTTTTCATCATTGATAATAAAAAAAAAATGTTTCTTAAGCAGCAAATCAGCATATTAGAATGATTTATGAAGACTGGAGTAATGACTGCTGAAAATTCAGCTCTTCCATCACAAGAATAAATTACATTTTAAATTATATTTATATAGAAAAGTTTTAATTTTAATAATATTTCATAATATTACTTTTTTTTAACTGTACTTTTATCAAATAAATGCAGCCTTGGTGAGCATAAGAGACTTCTTTCAAAAACAATTTAAAAAATCTTACCAACCAGAAAAGGTTCGAATAGAGGTTTACTTATGTTTATAAAAATGGGTTCTTAATCTATGGCCACTTTTGGCTGTATGGACTCTTAAACTTTTAACTGTCACTAGTTTATTTGTCTACTTATAATTTCCAACAGTGTGTTATGTTATGTTTAGCGTATTTTTCTTGAACCACCATCAACAAATGTCTTTTCCAACATCTCAAATCACCATTTTAAGCATTTTTGGAATGAATTGTCAGACTCCACTTTCTAGCCATACAACTAATTTAATTGCTAGTATTTTATGTATCCTAAACACAATTTTTTATTTCATAATCAAATTTGTGTAAGTGATATTTACCATAGCTTGTTATTTGACTGATTCATAGCTTGGTGTTTTTCTGCAGTTGATTCTCTCCTGTCTCTTTAGCACATTCAGAGGAAATTTGACTCAATTACCCATGCCTCAGTACGATTCCTTGGTGAGGGGCTGCAACGAATGGGAAACCAGTTCCTAAGCTCTCTAGAGGTCATGACCTCCTGCTCTCAGTGTCCTACAGTCCTGCTGGATGCTGAAACTGTGAGTGTACACTTCCTTTGCACCTCACATCTGAAAATTACACAGCTTATTGATAGTTGTGTAGTTACACTTGTCTGTTTACAAAGATTATATCACTGCCCAATCTTTTATCTATATGTGTGATAGTGTGCAATAATACAACATGTTGGTATATTCAGTAAACTGTGTGTGTTTTAGCTGGTCTCCTGTGGGCTCTTGGAGACTCTGAAGTTCAGTGTGTTGGAGTTACAAGAGCATCTGGACACTTACAACAGCAAGAGAGAAGCAGCCGAACAGGTGAGATACTTCAGTAATATATCAGTGTATAATATTGTGGTGTTGTGTGTTTTCTTTTCCAAGTATTTCAAAGCCATATGATGTCTTTGAGTAAGGAACAAATGCAAAATTTAAGTTACTCACTGAAAATCTTTCTTTAAATCGGATGCAATAATGAAAGAACGTCTTTGGTTCCATTAAGGCAGAAGCAGTACACTGATTTTTAGCTATACCCAATTCCTGTGCAGTTTGTCAGTTAAAGTTTAGTCTTTAAACCCATCTTTAAAGATATTATGCAATGCAGAGGAGAATAAGCTGACAGTGCAGGATCATAAAACGTCTCTTTGCAGTTATTGTTGGCTAGTAAATCATATAAGGACGCGAGTTGATTTAGCCAGCGTTAGCTTCCGTTAGCACCCATCTAGAATCTACAGCAGCCAATTTCTCTCATGGAGGCCCTAAATCATTTAGGCTGTCTGGGCGGACAGGCTCAGGAAGGGGAGTAGAGGGGGCAGATGGGATAGTAGATGACTAGAGGACAGTAATTGGATGAGACACAGGCACTGCCTCTAGAGCATTATGTGCTGACCCCCCCTGTGCTTAAACAGACCCTCTTTAATTTGCTAAGTAGCAGACTCTTATTAAATTTACCTCACGCACACTCCCATACAAACTATTCGTCTCTCCCTCTATTTCTGTTTCGCACTCACAGGAACGTCATCTGTCTTTGCTCACATTCACAACATCAGAAATTTCCACCTTCACTTCTCTGCTTTTTGGTTAATAAGGTATCTCATTTCTGCTTCCCCTTGCAGTGGTTGGATAACTGCAGAAAGACCTTTGGTGATAAAGACAGTAACCAGCGACCCAACACTCAAGCTCAGGTATAAAAAATTAAAAAAAACACTTCCACACACTCACCTCACTGCATGCTTCTGTTTGAGCACACAAATGTGAACATTTGTGCTCCAAACCATTCTATTCATCTCTGAGAAATAAAACAGAATGTAAGAACGTCTGTAAGAATGTAAGCAGAGTTGATTCGAGGGCAGCTGATCTTTCTGCTACCCATAACCAGGCCCACACAGAATCCGTGCTCCTGAGCTCACCACAGATTTCTGCAGAATTAAAATGTCTGTTATTCATTTCAAGTTTTGCACATCCCTTTCATCCACACAACTGGGTAGATTTTCTCCAAAAATTAAAAAAGCACACTGTTCAAAAGATTGGGGTCAGTAGTATTTTTTAAAAAGAAATTAATATTTTTATCCAACAAAGACACATTAAATTGATGAAGAGTTACAGTATAGACATTTAAAATAAATGCTGTTCTTTTGAACTTTCGGGGTAAAAAAAATTATGGTTTCTACAAAAATATTAAGGAACAGTGTTTTCAAAATTGGTAATAGGAAATGTTCCTTGAGCACCAAACCAGCATATTAGAATGATTTCTGAAGAATCATGTGACCCTGAAGGCTGGCGTAAGCACTGTTTCTCTGTCAGTTTGTCTCTTATGGTAGAGGCTTTACCTTTATGCTCTCCATGTCTTACTCTTCTATTCATCTTAGTCACTGCTTTCCCAGCGAACAGCATCTTTATTTTCTGTGATGTTAAGTGCTTTTGCAATTTTGTGATGCCACAGTTGATATTTCTCTCTCTTACTGAAACTTGCATCTGTCTCAACCTCTCTCGCTCTCTTTAATATCCCTTTTCGATCTATTTGCATATATTTAGCAGTGTAACAAATGTTTGAGTGTACATGAAACTGGAGAAAACATTAAGTAATTTCTCCTCCTAGAATGCATTGCATGTGACTGCATTTTTTTTTCTGTCATTGTTAATTATCAACAGACTGCAATATTTATCTCTCTGTCTCTCTTATGTTTGGTCTTGAGGTGTTATCAGCACACTAATTTTTGGTCTTTCTCTCATTTCCTGTGTTTCCTCTTTTTGTGACCTGCTGTCCTTTTTGCTTAGCCAATGGAAATGCTAGCAGTAAGTGGTTTATCATATTTTAGAGCCTGTCACAATCCTTTCTATTTAGCCACGCATACTGAACATTCATCTATACTTCACTGATACATCTGCCCATTCGTTCTCAACCAATCAGAATTCAGAACTACGCCTACATCTGATCTCTTAACACCACTACAGACGTGTCTAATTCATGATTATTCATAAATCATCACTGCATGCTTCAATAATGATTATTTAATGGCTTAAAGGAGTTCTGCTTACTTACAGTGTTGACCTTGCTTCCTAAATGCTGATTTTCTAATTAGTTACTAGTGTTTTTAATGCTTTTAAAAAGTTTGACACATTATGCATACAGAGTGTGTCCATGGACATCTGAGCGGAGGACGCGAGAGAAAAGTAGCTTAGATTATTTTTGTACCTGCCATTTTTGCATGCTCACCCCTTCATCCATCTGTCCCCTCTGCTCACTCCTGACATATTTTGGATCATGCAATTCGGATCTGACATTTTCCAGAAACATCACTTTTTCAGGGTTTTGTTCTGATAAGGGAATCATACATGGTCCACGTTTTACAAAATGATTCTCCAGGGTATAACCTTGCTAACCCTTCTCTCCGTCTCAAAGCCAGGATGTTCATCCATCCGTCTTTACCTCCATTTGTTCATTCATCTTGCCGTCCGTTCATCCGATCATGCTGTTTTGCTGCTGACTGTGCGGATGATTAAAACTAAAGATGTTAAGGTGATGGTGTCATGTTCTTTCTTTCTCTCTCTGTCTGTTTCTTTAGGAGCTGGAGTTGTGTCGACGGCTGTATAAGCTGCATTTCCAGCTCCTGCTGCTCTTTCAGGCCTACTGCAAACTCATCAGCAGAGTGGACACCATCAAGAGAGAGGCAGAGGTTTGTTTCTGCTTGTGTCTTTTGTCCTTTGTTGTTGTTGTTCACACAGGATACATTGTTGTGTTTGTCTGCACCATTTTTAAAGGGTTAGTTCCCTCGTAAATGAAAATTGTCATCATTTACTCACCTTTAAGTTGTTCCAAACCCATAAAACTTCTGTTCATCTTCAAAACACACATGTGACCCTGAACCACAAAACCAGTCTTAAGTTGCTTGGGTATATTTTTAGCAATAGCCAAAAAAAACATTGTATGGGTCAAAATTATCGATTTTTCTTTTATGCCAAAAATCTTTAGGATATTAAGTAAAGATCATGTTCCATGAAGATATTTTGTAAATTTCCTACCGTAAATTTATCTAAACTTCATTTTTGATTAGTATTATGCATCGCGAAGAACTTCATTTGGACAACTTTAAAGGCGATTTTCTCAGTATTTTGATTTTTTTGCACCCTCAGATTCCAGATTTTCAAATAGTTGTATCTCGGCCAAATATTGTCCTATCTTAACAAACCATACATCAATGGAAAGCTTATTTATTCAGCTTTCAGATGATGTATAGATCTCAATTTCATAAAATTGACCCTTATGACTGGTTTTGTGGTCCAGGGTCACAAATTAAGATATTTTTAATGAAACCTGAGAGATCAACAAACATACATAGAATACATTATATATGGTAAATGGAAGCCCATTAGCCCAAGGATACTTGCTTGATGTGTAAGAACAAACCTCATTGGTTGAGGTTGGCTCATCTGTTTACCATTTATGATGTGCTCTATGAATGTGTATTGATCAATGTTATGTGAATAAAAGCCTCAATTAAATCTCTTCATCATATAAAGCCATCACGTCTCTTTAAAAGACTTGGATTTATTGGAGTAAGGATGGAATATTTTTACACTGTCTTTATGATCTTTTTAAAGCGTCAAAGTTTTGTTTGCATGGGTTTTCAATGCAGGGACAGAAATCTCTCCGGTTTCATTAAAAATATCTTTATTTGTGTTTCTAAGATGAACAAGCATCTTATGGGTTTGGAACAACATGGGGCTGGCTGAATGTTGAATGAATTATAATTTTTGGCTGATCTATCCCTTTAATTGTTTTTCTATGTAGGATTGTGCTAGAAGGACGGCTTTGACCATTGCAGCATGTCTCGCTGTTGTTTCAGTGTCATTGTCAAAACTTTAACATTGTAACAGTGTCGAGATATACACTTTAACAGTGTCAAGATATAAATGTATTGATAGAAGACGAAAGATTCTGTTTCATTTTGCAAGAATTTGTGTGAAAAGGCCTATAAATTAAGCGTATGTATAGATTTATGTCATATTAACAAGAAATACAAATCTTATTTGTACTGTTGTGGCTTTTCGAGTGCCACAAAAAGTGCATGACATGAGGCCAGCAAGCTGCATGATAGCACACATACAGAAGACTGGATTTGTGGTAGTTTGTGCTAATGTGTGCCAGTATGGACACACATAAACGTCTGACTGCACATAATGATCTTAGTGCAGTTTAACTTCATTATGCTCACTGAGAGAGACTGATATGCTTATTACAGACCAGAGCAAAGCCATTCAGCCTATCGCTCATCGATACTAACTCACTTACACTCTATAGACTGCACACATACACACACAGAGCTCAGTGATCTCTGTTATGTAGAAATCATTTAACAGTTCACATATATTTAGCTTGAGAGAATCCAGTTTTGAGTTAATACGCATTGCCTTAGTTTCAATTTTCAATTATGTTTATTCTTAATATGAGATGACTATGGTGTGCCTTAATGATTTTGTCAACTGATTGATTGTGTACTGGCAAGTTGGTAATTTTTCATGAGTGGTTTAGAGTTGTGAGAATATTGACTGAATGTTGATTTAAAATGTCATGGTGCTTGTGTGTTTCTCAGGTGACTAACATGTCAGAGGAGCTGGCCATATTAGAGGGCTGTCTGAAGGAGGCAGAGTCAGTAGGTGATGGACAGGAGGGACTGGGCGAGATTGAAGTGGACCAGTCAAGCACAGAGACGGCTATCCACTCACTCATCGAGAGCCTCAGAGCACGGGACTTCAGCACAGCCATTGCTCAAGTTAAAGCCTTCAGGTAAGATAACTAGGCTTTGAAGTTGCGGTGAAACCGTATCCCAATTAATGGCTCATCGGACAAAAAAAAGTGTAGGTTGGGACTTGGATCATTGTCATTTGCCAATTGCTGTGATCTTAGTACTATTAATAAAAGATGTCGATAATATTGCACAGATAAATTATGTATAATAAACGCTGCAATATTTCATGAAAAAATAAGGGTTGTCAGTTTTGATTTCATGGTGTTTTTAACGTCGCGATGAAGCTGAAATATTATAATGCACATCCGAGTGTAACGGATTATCAAAACAGAAAAAAATGTGGGTGTGGACTTGGTTCAGTCCATCAGTTGTTGATTGGATAGAGGCAAATCTGAATGTGAGCTTTCAGGTGATTCTAAGGAAGGGGGGCGGAGTTTAAGCGACTAAATGAAGGGTGAAGTCCAACATACGTCACCAGTCTGTCAAATTCTGTTGTTTAACCAGAAGATCGAATTGACATTTGACAACTTTAATAATAAATATAAATATTTATATGCTCTCATATAACTAGAACTAAGCAAAAAAGTATCAAGAAACTCTTTTAAACTCCTTTTAATAGTTTTCATCCTAACCAGATGTGACAAGCAACATTACAACCTCATTGGTCCGAGATCTCGTTCTACATAGTTTGTTTGTTAAACATTAAATATATTCTGATTGGCCGATTTCAGAATTGACAGACAAATTGCTGGTCACTGGAAACATATTTCACATCATGTCTAGTTAGGATCCATAATGGAATTAAGCATCTTGTCGAACTCCTGTAGATCTCTTTTGCATAAATCTGATATGTTCCTGTATCTGTATACCTCTATAAACCCATGTTTAATTCCCTCAGGTGCCTGTGGCCTAATGATATATTTGGCAGTGAGAGGGATGATGCAGTACAGACGCTGCTGCACATTTACTTCAGGCACCAGACTCTGGGTCAGATGGGCTGTTTGGCTGTGGTGGGCCCCAGCAGGGATCTTTCTCAGGCCAGCTCACGCCTCATGGAGCTCAACCTTCAGATCCGCAAAGCTCTCTGCCAGGCTCAGACGCACCCTCACACCCACCAGACGCACATCCTGTCCCTGACCCCCACGGCCCACATCCAGACGCAAATCGACACGCAAAACACAGTCCTCAGCACTGGACTGTGAGAGTTTCACGAACTCCACTCTCTTCCTCCGGGGCGGCGAGTTTGGAGATTTTCACGTAGACTTCACCTCAAAGGGCTAAAGAATGTGTGGCTATTAGTTACTCGAAACTATTACGCAAGTACCATGTTTTTCCTTCCCCCTTTCTCCAATAGTTTAACTTCTCCAGATGTCAGAAAAAGTACGAAGAACAGGACTGGTCAAGAACCATTAGGAGGGACACTGGGCGATAATGATGCTAAATTTGAAGCTTTTTGGCGGAATGACCTATGACCTCTAGGCGGTGTCTTTTTAGAGTGATCCACATCCTTCTGCCCCACTATGCACTGGTGCAGAGATGGGATTTGGAGCGTTATTGTGAGAATCAGAGTATCACGATGGATCAGCGAGACTGTCGCATCGCTGATCGCAAAAAGCATGCTTGAAAGAGAAGCCTGCAACAAATATTTTTTTGAGAAATTTATTTTTTAACAGTCTTAGGTTGTAAATGTTAGGATATTTAACATGTAAGCTGGGGGGCTGTACCCTCCGTATAAAGAGGTTTATCTGTTTAACTTTATTGACCTGGATCGGGGAGAACTTTCAGCTTTCACTGGGCCGTTCTTACAAATCCCTTAATCTATAACCAAATAAGTAGCTGCCTGTAGGAAACCATAGACTCTTGTGTGCGCGCGTGCGTGTGAGGACGAGTGCGAGCGTGTGCTTGCGAGTGCGTTTGTTATGGACTGATATTTGCACACCCGTTCTCTCTCATACATGCACGTTAACAAACCGAAATGCACAAGTGAAGTGCAAACTGGCTGCAACTCATGGAAATATCAATAACTTATTTTACTCTGTATATATTTTAGAAAATGTATAGTGTAAAAGCAGTATTTTTCCTTGTACATTTGTGTAATGCACTGTTCAATCAGAGAGAGCTCAGTAGAGGGTAATGACTAATGCAAAAAAATAGCGAGTTGAATAGCTTTTGGGATGCAAGTAAGTCACAGGCTGCCCTCCCCTTTATAATACGGCACCTTAATCTTCAATATTTCCCGACGAACGAGCTCAGCTTCTCAGCCGAGTTTTGCCATATGCATTCCTTGATACCCACTGTGATCTCCATGTTTGCTCAAAGTCCCTCTGTTAGGCCCCGCTGGAGCCCCTGCTGAGGGGAAACTGGGGCTAGTGTTTGTCCATGTTGGCTCTGTCTTAACCCTAGACTCAGGGCTGCACTGAGGGTTTGTGGGCTCTGCGACGTAAGGCACTGTGCTTTGCTTGCCGAACTCCAAGAGACAATACGCTGTCCTGAAAGCATTAACCGCAAACATTGGGGGGGGCGTTTAATCTGTCGTGGCACATTGAGAAATAAAACATTCACTGTATTCATTCCTCTGGGAGATCTCGTCTGTTGCTTGTTTGGTACATTTTGAATGCTGTTCTTAATTATTTAATGGATATATTATTTACATGGAATAATATAGTTTTTATCTAGAGGTGCGTTATCCTTTTTTTTTTTCTTTTTTCTTCCCCAGCTCACATTTCTCTCTGGTTTGTCTTTGTCATCTGATTTATCTGCTTTTCTCTGTACTGTTAAATAAAAACCTGATTATAAGCAACACTGTTTTTTTTGTCAGTTCATTTCCTGATGTTTTTTAACGGTACTCATCGTTTTATTGTAGCTATCCAGTTATTAACCCTATCAGCAGTGTATGTTGATTCAATGTGTTCAGTTCTCTAGCATCTCTGGTCTTTTCTATTAAGACCCGTTCGCATCAAGTAAAATAACTATAACGGTTACCATCCACACCAATAGAAGATAACGGTTTATAAAGCGTGTGCTACAGTTATGCCATCTGCCACTTTAAATGTTAGAGCCCTTTAAGTTTGTATGGGATTTACATTCGCGATCATTGAATTCATACAACTAGAAAAAAAATGTTCTGAAAGGAATTCCAACACCATAATTCCGCTGTTATCGTTAAAGCTGTGGTTTGGACTGTGGTGCAGGTGTACATGCAAAACTTTGGCACAAATCATTTAATCTAGGTAACAACCCCATTTAGTCCATGAACACAAATGACTGGTTTTGCGTTTAGGAGTTACGGTAATGCTTAAACTATTGTGGTTAGTCACACAGCCATTTGTCCATTTAAGGCATCCTATAATGTAACCACTGTACATAAACCAAACAACCTGAATCGGTCATTGACAATATAAAGTCCGAAAAAATGTGACTGTTTAATTACATGCATGATCTTTACTAGTTCCAGAAAGAGCAAACCTGAAATGAACCTTAAGTGAACAGACAAAATGAGTTATTGTGCTAGTCTGAAGACTTGACCAAATACAGTAAACGGTGCAATAATAGTAAAAGTTGCAAGTCAAGGACATGTATCGGGCAAGACACCCCCCATCAGATTTAACTCTTGACGGTCACAATTGCTGTATTGTTTTGCTCTTAATCTTGACTTTAATCTGAACAAACATTTGTGACTTGCATCCCCTCAGAGCAGTTTTGAGGTTAAAATGGGTGTCCAATCCTGCTCAACCCCCATTAAACACACCTGAACCAGATAATCAAGGTCTTACTAGGCATACTAGAAACCTCCATGCAGGTGTGTTGAGGCAAGTTGGAGCTAGACTTCAGGACAGAGCTTGGATACCCCTGGGTTAAAAATAATCAAATCCAGTTTGCTGGATTTATAGGCACAAAAATGCTTCTAGTAGTGTACAATTCAAGTCAGCCATTCACGTCACCCTGCTGCAGATTAGTTCATAGAAAACTCAAGATGTGCTAGTAATTGCCATTTTTATTTGTAGAATTGGCACCTACAGTTACTTCACGTACAAATTAAAGCAAAACAAAAAGAAATAAACTGTAGTGACCGATGGATCCCCACTGCGGTCTTTGAGCAGCGAGGGTGCAGAGACTGAGGTGGACAATCCAGCTGGGCAACAACCAAGCCTGACCGCAGCGGACAGAGCTGCTAGATGATGTATTTGAAGCTGAATGTGCTGTCACAGGACAGACGCTTGCCTTTGCAGCGGCCGCACAGATCCTGTCTGTGAGGTCTTTGGGGGTCCACGTGACGTGATGTTACAGAACATGTACAGCGAGACTTCTTACAAGTCTGAAAATGAAATTTTCTAGTTGTAGTTAATGCAAAAAGGACAGTGAATAAATGGATCTGCAAGTGATCTATTGAAAGACAGCTGCTTGTAAACCATTGAAACTCCTAGTTTAGTTTACATTTTGAGACCAATGTTGTGGTAAAGTTGCACCAGTTTTTTTGTTTTTAAAGTCATCTTTAAAGTTTGCAGAGGTCCTATAGATCATCTATAGGCATCTGGTTGCGAACCTATAGGTTTACCTGACAGGTTATGTCCTCAACACGGTATGGGTTGAATGATTTCTGACATGTTCTGCAAAACTGCTTGAAATACACCTTTAAAAAGACAGCAAAGTTTGAATCAGTAATAGTGGTGCCAACACTGCAAAGATTAAATGGGGGGGCCTAATGTTCATTTTAACATGTATAACATGGTTTAATCTTATTTACCCATCTATTACCTTGTTTGTGCCTTGGACACACCACACATAAGCACTTTCCCAACGTAGGTTGCAGTCTTTGCAATGATAGTAGCCATACTTCTGCTCCAAAAACTGCATTAAAACAAGTTAATACATATAACTTATGAATAGTTAAAAATGGATTATAAATATTTCAGGAACCCATTTCTCCCACCTGGAACCTCACGCGAGCCTTTGATTTGGCTTCATCTCGTCCGGATTTCACAGTCTCGTTTCTGTTCTGCTCATCTGTTTCCGTCGGTTTGTTTTCATTTTTCTCTGGACTAAGCGGTTCCTTCGCGCTCTCCTCGCCCTCTTTGCGCTCGTCTTTCTCAGCACTCACCACCTTCTCTGCGCTGTCCACCGTCTCAGGGGCATTAGGCTCCGTGTCCTTTTCCTCCTCCTCCCTGAAGAGGGACACTAGCCTCCTGGACTCCACCGGAGAGTAAACGGCTTGAGTGCGCGGGAACCGGACGCCGCCGCTGATGGGGCTCCCTGGGGTCTGAACCTGTCGCCGCTGGCGAAGGGCATCACGCTTCTGGGCCAGAAGGGTCCGCGGGCCCAGAGAGCACTGGATGGACGCGTCGGTCTTTGGGTTGACCTGGATCCCTACGTCTCTGGTGTTGGCTTTCCTCAGACGCGGGGTGAGGTTTGGGTTGATCTGAGACAAGATGGACTTAAGCTGCGCTCTGTGGTAATTATCGAAGTAGGTCTCGCCTTCACCGTAGTTGGCGAAGTAAGCTCTCTGTCTCCAGCCCTTGAACTTGGGGTATTTGTAGGAATAAGGGTTGTAAGAGGAGTAAAGATAGTTGTCGACTGTCTCGTTACCATATGTAGCCATTTTTCGCTTAGCCGGTTGGGAAAATGCACTGTAAGAGTTTAAGTAGACGCAGGGGACACAAATTGAGGGCAGGTGCATAATTAACTCCAATTAACAGGATTCCCCAAAACCCGAAATTGTTAGGGAATTTTCAAAAGGTGATTTCCAGGCTTGGAAAAATCAAAGAAAGCTTTTTGGAAAATTGTGGTTTAAACTGGTTAGGAACATACGTTACATAGCTGGGTTTCTATGGTTGACCTACCATCCAAAAACCAGTTTAACCAGCTAGTTTGTTGCTGATCCAAGAAGGTCCATAAGTTTTGACGGTAATCTTAAGTCATGGACGTTTTTATATTGGGTAATCATTTTTTCTGGAAATATTTGTTATTATTAAAAAATACTACTACTAAATAATTAATTTTACATTAATTTTTTGCGTGAAATATCTATAAAATAACTTTACCAGTCTGGCAGTGATATTGTATAAAAATTATAATATTACATGCTTGTCATAAACATTTATTCATTTTGCAGACATTTTCACATATTCTGATAAACATGTACAATATTTTCATTTCAGTTACAGAGATGGATTGCATATTCAGATATTATCAGATGGAAACCATCACATGATCACTTCTTGTCCAGAATAAACCTTATTTATATAAAGCCTGTTTTTTTTTATTGCAGGCTTTTATTCTGTTTTTCAAAATCACATTTGTTATGATCTGACACTGACATGCTGTAGCCTTTGGTATTTGTCATATCAAGCAGTGGTAATCCTGTAAAATTCCACTCTTCTTGAAGTAATAACCTCAGAAAACATATTTTCTCCCAGTTTTGGAATCAGAAGCATACTGACAGTGGGTGATGTGCAATATAAAGCCAACACACATACCGCACGGGATGTGAATCAGTCTTATCCTCTTGGTCCACATAATCAAATAAGCCAATGTAATTCATTTACTGAGGTAATAGCACTCATTTACAAACAGCAGCATCAATCTATATTAATGGTGTATAATTTGCATACTTCTGTAAGACTGTGAAAGTGGCTTTCACTATTACATTATTTGAATGAATGAATGAATGAAAGAAAGAATTAATGAATGTATAATCAAATTTACTCAGTAATAACAAAAAATATAAAATATATATTTTATATACAGACATAAACCAACTCTCTAATCTTATTTATCTTATATATATTTTATACTAATATTTTAAATATATTTTATACTAATTTTAGAAAAATTCTATTGAATGGTAATATCTGGCTAGTGTGTTTATATAAAGCTTTAATGTTGTCAACTTTAGTATCGCCACCGTGTGATGTCATGATATTAGTTTCCATTTTCACAGTCACTTTTGGCACATATTAGTTATAATGCTGTGGGTGATTAGTAAGAAATTCAACAGTCAGTGAGTGATAGCATGAATAAATCCTAATGTAAATATGCAGGTCCAGTGTCTGTAGTAACTCTCAAGTTAGTTGTTTTTGTTCCCTTATACAGGTGTGGGGCTTCCAGCACCATCCTGTGACTCCAACACGATGACATTGAGGTCGCTCACTGTTACCGCACCATACGTAGAATCAAACGGCACGTCTTCTTCCTTCATTCTCTTGTAGGATATGTTTGTATCATCGTCATCATCCTCCATGAGTTCCTGTTTGTGCAATACCTCTTTCCTGTACATGCGGTAAGCCAGAATGAAGATGCCAGCCTCTGCTGCCTGGAAGAGCGCGTACAGCAGAGGAAACATATACATGCCTCCCATCAGCTGTGGAGGGAATGCCAGCTTCAGGATGGCCGTGCAGAGCTGTACGTTCTGACAGCCGGTCTCTAAAGACACAGTCCTCCGACTGTTGGGGGGGAGATCAAAGAGCGTTGCAAGGCCGTATCCTGCCGCATAGCCAGTCATGGGCATGAGTACGGCCACCAGGTAGACGGAGGCAGGGATGGTGGCCAGCAGCTCCGGACCCAGCATAGTTCCAGTCATGATGAAGAGCATCAGCAGAGTGACCAGGAGAGACCACAGAGACACCTGGAGCAGAAACACTGGTAAGTCACACACTGTCATACAAACCTCACTGGAGTTTCTCAGCAGATTTTATATAGGCTATTCTTCTGTTTAGTTACATTACATTTATATTTTAGTGATTTAGCATAAAACATTTTTATTTTCTTATATATTCTCACATATTCTTATATTATTATTTCATTTTATGGGTCTAATGGACATATTCTCACAATATTTGTATTTTATTTTATGGCTGTAATGAACATTTTCTCACAGTATTTTTGCTTGTTTTGTTTTGTTTTGTTTTATAGGTCTGATGTACAAATTCCCCCAATATTTTATGTTATTTTCTGTGTCTAATGCACATATTTTTTAACAATATTTTTGACTTTATATTCTGGGTCTAATGAAAATATTCTCACAATTAATAGGGGAGTGAATCCTGAAAGGAGTGAATGGCACAGAGAGGCACATGATGATATACTACTAGAGGAGAAAAGTGCAAGCCATGAGTGACAAATCAGCCCACTTTTATCCACTCCACTTAATGTGCTGCACCCCCATTCCTTTATCACACTCTCCGTCAGCCCTGCCCTCCCCTCCCCTCCCACATCTCTCTATCTCACAGTCGCCACTGTGCCCCACCAGGCTGTTCTTAGATAAGCTCAACTGAAAGGAGGAACCCATGCACGCATGTGACGCCACCTCGCCCTGGGCACTTCAGTCTCCTTTTAATAGCCAGAGATGTTGGACATGTAGGCGGCATAAGCAACCCATCACAACCAGTGTTATTTCAGAAATGACAGCAGAAATCTAAATAATTTTTTCTTTATGATGAATCTCCACTTAGTGACTCCTGCAAATCAAATAAACAGCTTTGGCACTGCTTTGAACGACTTTTAGACAATAAGGTTTTTGCATTAAGTCACCTTGATGATGATTTCAGCCACTCGAGTATAGCGGTATCTAAGCCAGACCCCGAACCCGATGGGAATGAGAGTGCTGCAGAGGGTGAGAATGATCGCACCGAAGGGCAGAAGGTTCACCACGGGTGTGTTGATCCACGCGCGACTGTACATCCACAGACACAGCGGCATGAGAACGAGAGCCAGAATAGTGGATGAGATGGTCATGATGATGCTGGAAAACGAAGCACATCAAAAGAAATGTATTAACAAAGACAGCCAAAAAAGCAACCTTTCTTTGCTCTATTTCAGTATAATACATTAATGCATATATTCATGAATATTGACATTAAGTCAGAATGACCTAAAAGAGCATACTGAAAAAATTAAAACACAATATGTGATATGTGCAAAAATACTTGTTAAAAATCCATAAATATTTCAAAGCACTGAGCTACAGCATCATCTTTTCTCTTTGACAAAATAACATTTTCACAATATTTTTATTTTATTTTCGGATATATTTTTATTATATTTAATTAATATATTTATTGTGTGCATACAATTAGTATTTTTTATCATATTTTCAAATCTATATAATGAACACATGATGACAATATTTTATTATATATATATATATATACATACATATACAGTCAAACCAAAATTTATTCAGACACCTTCAACATTTCACACATTATCACAGTTTATTCGCTATAGTTTAGAAAATGGTAATAAAATATGACAAGAACTCAAGAGTTAAACTGTGTCAGAACAAATTAATCTTGATAATGACAGATAACACTTAAGCAAATCATGGACAGATCAAAGTGTCTGAATAATTTTTGGTCCCAAATTGTTTATCAATTTTGCTGGTCATCTGACAGCTACCTGAGGTTCATCTCTCCGTTGACCAGCAGTGACAAGATGTTGGAGAGGTTTCCTCCAGGGCAGCAGCCGCACAGCAGCACGGCCATAGCGGCCACATCGTTGAGGGAGAAGGCCAGAGCCAGGAGGAAGGCGATGAGGGGCATGAGGACAAACTGGCACACCACCGCCAGCAGGACTCCTATGGGCTTTCGGATGTGCTCGCCCAGCTGACTGAGCTCCACCGTGCAGCCCAGCCCCAGCATGGTGAAGCACAGGACAAAGCCAACAAACACGTTAATCCCGTGACTCAAGGGTGAATCCCAGAAAGCCACAATCAGGTGAGTGGGCTCTTCAGTGGGCGAGAACGGACCCGCCAGGAGCCCCGCTGGAGCCACATCAGTCCTGAAGCTGCTGAGCACAAGTGAAAGCGGCTCTTCTGTGGCCCGCAACCCTGCCATGGAAGGACTCTCCGAGAAGCTGACTGGATCCTCTGTGAAGTTCAGAAGTTGCATGAGCGCGGCGGTGGACGCGTCAGTGCTCGGCACGCCGTTGGAGGTCTCCATGGCGTTTCCAGGGGACAGGAGCTCTCCAAAGGATCCTTCGGTCTCCGCTGACCGCTGGTGTCCCCTCCCTGAACTGAGGAGAAAGGCGCGCGGTCCCCTAGCGGCGCAGAATCATTGTATGACTCTCAGCAGGGACTGAGGGACACAAGGCTGTCCAGCGTGGAGCGCGCGGTGCCACTGGGAGGGGTTTGGCGTCGCGTCACCAAGAGCCATTACAGGCATCATCCACTCCAATTAACTGATCACTAAGACGCATTTTTGGGGGGATCTTTGGAGTTGGATTGTCCGCGTGAGAGAAATCGTGTTCTGATATATTTAACTAACAACATGTGACGTGTCTATTAACTTTTTTATTCAACAACCAACACCAATATTTTAGGTGAAAAAAAAACAAACATTTAAACGTAAAAGGAAACGATACATTTTAGGGTCGTCTTGGAGATTGACAATTCAATTAAAATTATTACTCATTTTGGAAAATATCTCATACATAAAGATGCATGTCAGTACTTAAGTAAAAATCTGTCTTTACAACTTTTACTTGTAATGGAGTAATGTTTGACCAGCAGTATCTGTACTTTCACTCAAGTAATGGAGTTGAGTACTTTGTCCGCATCTGGTTGTACCAAATAATTACATTGTTTTCCACTGACAAAGATTTTTTTTTATTAATTATGAAAAAGATGTAATCGATGTATGATGTAATCGATGTAAGAGGTATATCTATACTGTTATTTTGCATATATGGATGTATATGTTTTGTTTCCTCTGTTAAAAATCAATGAAAAAAAAATACTTAAATGGACATGCAGTGTAATAAATTAATTAAAAGTATGCGACAATAGGCTAACTAATGAAAAAGAAAGAAAGAAAATAACATTAAAAATAGTTTTAAATTTTCAGCCTTTACCAACCCAGCTTCACCACATACTCAGCCATTATAGTAACTTCACCAAAATACATTTTTAACTAATTATTATTAGTTTGAATAATGCTTGACATTATTATTATATCCGATTTTTAAATGGATTTCAGATTTTTTATAAAAATATTTTTAAGGAAAATCTCTCCAAGTACCAATTAATATTTAATACTGCCTAACAATATGTCAACTACTCATAAACACTTTTGCCTTATACACACACATATGCTATTTAAGATTTCATTGAATTAGGCTATGTTCTGAAATCTCTATTTCAATCAGGATCAAAAACGTTAATACTTTTAAAGAAGGAAAATAAGTTGATCCCTGATGTGTCGTGGCTGGCCATTAAAAGGACAATAAACAAATCATTGGGACAGCTGTAATATACGAAAGTCACTTCCGTAGATATATGTACAGTATTTAACATGATTTGAATTGAAAACTTGTGTCCATTTGTGTAGAACATTTGTTGTGCAACATCTTGTTCATTGTGCAACGCTGATGCTGTAGCCAAACATCAATCATTTACATGTATTGATCTAATACTTGACTGTTAAGCATTCAGTAGGCCTATAAACATTTCCCAATTTTACACGCAGATTTGACATTTTAGACCCCAATACATAGGCCTTTTTTCACTTTTATTAAAGGGGTCATATGACGTTGCTAAAAAAAGAACATTATTTGGTGTATTTGGTGTAATGAAATGTGTTTATGCGGTTTAAGGTTAAAAAAACACATTATTTTCCACATACTGTACATTATTGTTTCTCCTCTATGCCCCGCCTTTCTGAAACGCGTCGATTTTTACAAAGCTCATCGGTCTGAAAAGCGAGGTGTGCTCTGATTGGCCAGCTATCCAGTGCGTTGTGATTGGCCGAATACCTCAAGCGTGTGACAGAAATGTTACGCCCCTTACTATATTGTGATGCCGTGTCCCGGTGCAACGAGACAAAACGAATAAAACCCATTATAAATGAGGCATTTGTTGCATCCAGTGGGTACATAATTAAGGATAATAATGACTTATACTGTCTTTTTACGCATTGCATCACGCCGCATAAACATTAAACCATGTCTGCATTTGTGATAGGAAACAGTCCTCGTCCTCCGTCAATTGCGTTGCACACATCTGAATATTTGGTTTGAACTGTTCTGGAACAATGTTGTAAATACAACTTAACCACTGATTTCTAGTTGTGTCCTCTTTTGGAAGGCCAAACAAAGTAGTTTCGCTTTCACAACGAAAAACACAGCGTCTCCATGACATGGCGGCGGCAACAACAATACTACAGCGAGAATCAAAGTTACACCTTCTTTCTTTGCGTGAACATTTGTCCGGTGTTATGCAAATCATCCCACACAGTGACGTTGACATGTGGGGGCGTGTATTTCAGGTATTTGAAATAATTGTTTTTGAATAAGTCGTGTGTATTTTCACCCTCAGTCGTGGCCAAAGACATTATTCACATAAGTGACGGGCTTTCTCTGACTGCCCCACTTCCCTGTAAGCAGTCCTGGAGTCACACACAGATAATCTCTGTCAGGATAGGCTAATTGAAGGGAATGAGCAGTTAATTTTGGATTAACTGGACACCTAAACAATAAAACTAGAAGGTAGGATGTCGTTTTATTGATGTTTTACCATTTTAGACGTTAATCTCCGCTACGTAATGTACATTTCTACGTGATTCATTTTTCTTCGTTTTATTCTTAGTAAGTAGTTACATACATGAAATTATTTTTGTTCCGAGTACGTCTAAAAAACACAAGGAAACTCTATGCTAGGAATAAGTGAACAGTTTATGTGAAAAAATACATCTTTTAAAGTCGTGAAGATGAATTCCTGGCTCATGCACGCGCTCGCGATGACGGTGGTCTTCTGTTGCCGTGACGCCCTCTCGTGTCCAATGCGATGCACGTGCCACTTCAGCGCCAAAACAACTGAGGTCGTGTGCCCTGACGCTGACCTCTCTTCTTTCCCTGGAGACGGTCTCCCAGGTAACACCACCTCCTTGACCATCCAGTTCACCAACTTGAATTTAGCAACTTTTAGCAACAAATCAACCTTCCTTTAGCAACTTCCCCTGAAAAGTAGTTGGCAACACTGCTTGAGCGTGCTGACCGCTTAGCACCTGACAGCCATCCCACTGCTGGAGGAGTTACACCTGCCCGGCAACAAACTGAGCAGTTCACCAGCAGATCTTCTGAAGGGCCTTCATTACCTGCACACTATAGACCTCACAGGTGAGTGTGTGTATAAAAGCACCGTGTCAAAATGTTAAGATTCTCTACATGTATTTTGTAGCTGTACGTGTCCATTTGTGCGGAAACGCTATTGTAAGGTAATACCATGACATTTTACTGTTTTGTGTTTATTTTATTGTACTTTTTTTTATAAAACAAAGTCTAAGCTTTCACATAATGTATTTTTTATTACAATATTCAAACAACGAATGTCGTTTTGACGCTCTTGAGTGGAGTGAAATATCGCTTCAGTTCAAATTGAGCGAAAATCGAAAATCGCTTCCTCTTTACTAGTTAGAGAACGAAAAACATTAATGGATATCAGATGGTATGTTGATAAACAGTACAACTTACAAACATAACTTACATCGTTTCGCATATAATGTTTAAACCGCGTAAAAAGACAAAAACAGCTTGTGAACATGTCACGTGACTTTACCTCAGAAGTCATTCAGTGTCCATCGCTCGTTAGTTCGAAATTTGGAAAGGAGCATATCGTTAAAATTGTATATTGTTAAAAATTGGTTCACTTTTTGCTTTTATTTTTACTTAACTGTGTCTCAGTTTAGATATATCAAATATCAAAATATCTGAAAATTGTTTGGAAGCCATTTGCCATTTCTCTGAAGCAAAAAGACAAAACTACACCAATATGATGCAGCAGGTCACATTGTACTGTTTTTTCTAACTCTTTTATCATCCAAATTGTGCTCAGACAATGAACTGCAAGAGATACCTGCATATGTTTTCCATCATGCTCCACTTCTCAACCTGGTGTTGAAAGACAACCGCATCTCCAGCATCCACCCAGACTGGTTGCCCAACAACAGCAATATCACTTGGTTGGACTTGTCCGGAAACCATCTTATGAAATTCCCAATGGCCCAACTCCAAAGTCTGAGTCACCTAAAGGTTCTGCACCTCTCGCAGAATAAACTCAAAGAGCTTCCAGTTGGGTGTTTAGTTGCTCACCCTGCTCAAGAGAGATTTAATGTAGACCAGAACAAAATCCAGTCCCTGGATGTAAAATCCTTTTGCTGCTCTGGTAACCTGACTCACATCTTCCTGCAGAAAACTAGATTAGATAGTCTCCCGCCGACTGTATTCCAGGGGCTGAAACGCTTGGACTACGTTGACCTCAGTGACAATAGGCTGCAGTTTCTGCCCACTGGCACATTAGATATTAATACCAGTTGGGTGGAGTTGATCTTTAACCCTTGGCATTGTTATGCTAAAATAGAGTACCTGTGGAGAAAACTGACTATGGAGTCCCTGCAATCAGAGCCCAAATGTACTGCACCAGAGAATCTGAAAGATCGTGTCATCGCAACACTCACCCGCAAAGAAATGGGCCTGCCGGACTAAGAGAAACTGCATGATCTGGAAGAGAAGTAGATGAAAGTAAATGAAAAGTGTTTTTTTTTTTTAAAAGGAGGGAGAGGACACTTTTAATACAACTCGCCATATTGGATCTTAGAATAATGGATCATGTGCATGTTTGCAATCTGCATTGCAAATAAAGATCGATTTAATTTTCTTTTTACATTCATTAAAAATTGTAAAGGAACAATTTTGACACAATACAAAATTCTGGAGCTCCCAACACACATTATCACTCATACATAAATTAACAGAAAGCTAAAAATTAAATAATGAAACTGACAAACTATAGATAATTATAATTAAAACTAAATAACACTTCCAGTTTTGAATTTTGACTTAAGATCTCTTAATACATTAGATTATAAAGACAGACAACTGCAGCCTAAAATCAGTTGCAATCTCCACATTTTCCACAATATGTCTATGATCAACAGTCAAATGCTATAAAATGTTTAAAGTTTACTTTAGTTTTGGCACGTCAATAAATTAGACAAATAAGTGACAGACCACAAAACTTTTTTCAACTTTTATTTGAAATGATTCAACGCAGGGGAAACTGAGCATCATGTTTGTGGAGATATAAAAGTCTTTACCAAAAAACA